GAAAGATTTTTTTTTTAATTGTACTGTGATCACCAAAACGATGTATGCCATCTTTTATTTAGCTGAAGTCAATGAACTAATTTTAACTATAACCATAACAATAATTATCATCAACAGTTAGCGAAAATGATACAGGCAGTGATTCAAGGCTATATCCCTGCCTGCGTTCAAAGACGTGTTTGATTATTATTATTTTTTAAACCACAACCATAGTCTTGGTATCTGGTCCTAATTTGTATTCTACCCCTACCCATAACCCTCTGCCTAACACTGATTCTAAACAAAACTAGTCCTAGCTCTGCTTCTAGCTTGTTTTCTAAAAACGATACTGACAGATAAACAAGTAGATCATATTTAACCACTGCACTGGTCTGATAAAAATACCTTTTGAAAAAAAAAAACAAGCATTATAAAAATGTGAGCTAAAAACTTAACCTAAAATGTTCGTCTAAAAATGGCGTTACTTACCATGCACGGTGTTTACACTTGCCACATGTATACTATACAATGATATGTCTGGCTAAAAAACAACTTGCAACAAGTTAATGTAATATGTAAACATATTTCCTATGGAACTTGCTTGCTGCGAGTTTTTTTTTTTTAATATTCTTGTCATGTAAAGTATACGTGTAGCAAGTGTATACGCTGTGTTAAACTGAGTTTGGGTTTCTTTCCATCCCCCTCCCCTTAATCTAATTCACTACTTTATTGTAGACCCCAAAAAAGGCCGGACAGTCCGGACAAGTATTTTTTGTATACATAATTTATTTAGATTCACTTTTATTTATTCTGCAAGATTGGCCGCTAACCCGGAATTTTCGAGTTTAAACCTCCGGGCAAGTGAGACTCCTTGGCTGGGGAAAGCACTCCATCTAGGGGAGAAAACAGGAGTTATATCACCAACTCAACTATCACCTTCGGCAACATGTACATCTGAAATTGCTGCCAAACATTGCTCAGCACTCCATAACACAAAGCTACCAGAGGTCTAGAGAGGGATCATGACAACCCGTGATCTTCTCACCTAACGCCCTGGTACACGCCCTAGGGATTTCACTTCTCTGGGTACATCCATTGTCTCTAGAGTCTAGAAAGGGACCACACAGTGTGTGTACAATTGCGAGATGGGCCTCGGTCCTCTGCCACGTTAGCCCATACTGCAAATCCCCGCACTGAGTTAAATGAGGCGACAGTCGTCCTATTGCAATCGTTACGAAATATAATACGTCATGCGTGTAGGTATATTAAAGGTATCATGCGACATATGTATTACACGTGTAAGCTTGTTTGAAGTCGGGAGTTGAGCCGGGTGCACGTGTAGGGTGAGCACACACGTGCAGATATCATCGCACACGTGAGTTGGGCTGTGACCAGGATATGTGTGAGTAGGATTTTAAGCTCGTGACCCAGCAGTGACGCCATGACCCGTGACCCCACGAGTGTAAAACAGTAGCGAGCGAGACACATGATAGTACGTCAGGACAATGGGAGACGGGTGGGGGAGGGGAGGGGGAGGGGCGTTACCATTTTATATTTATCTAATTTAGATTTTTTAAAATAAGAAACGAAACGTGTCGTGCAGGCTATATTTTATGGGCCTAGTTTTACACATGTCACGTGTGATGTCTATTAAAGGTATCACATGACATATATATTGCAGTTGACATTTATATGCACGCCACGAATGTCCCGCTTTTGTTATTGTTCCTTGTTATTACATATTGTTACTATATATTCTTTATATATATATATATATATATATATATATATATATATATATATATATATATATATATTCATTACCTATATACTGTATACTGTATATATTGATTTTATATATTTTCATTATATTTTATATTTCTTTTTATTATATCTTATTAAGTTAGTTTACAAACATGAAAAAAAAATTGTTAGGTCCCCCAAAACTTCAAGGCCCCTGGAAGAAGCTTGATTAGTACCCCCCCCCCCCCAATCCGTCCCTGTTCAAGCCATACATCACTCCCCTGTAATAGATCACAGAGTCTGGTTGCTAGGCAACCTATTATCCAATGGCACCCTTTTTTCTCTCTAAATGCTAGCTGCCGTTATTACGTCTATCGATAATCAATTATTAAACAAAAAAAGGACACGCTACAAAGAGGTATAATCGATAATCGGTAAAATCGATAAAAAATCAATCTTATCGATCTTAACATCAAGGTTAGTTAATGTTTGGGTACAGATCAAAAGGATCAATGGTATGGAGTCAAGGGGATAGAAAAGTGATTGTTTAACAAACTGACCAGAGATGGCGTCATTTACTTGGAGGGGTGGGGGGGGGGGGAGAGGTTGTCTCTGTATTTCTGCTCAAACTTTTTCTACGTGAGTACAACACCCGGGTTAAAGTCCCACTGCTCATGAGTTAGATGCTACTTTTTCAATGACAACATGAGGCTCTTTGTATTGGATCTCTTGCGTGCTCTCTCTCTCTATCTGTCACTCTCTTTCTCTTTATCTCTCTATTTCTCTTTCCAATACGGGCGTAGCAAGCCAGGGGATTCATTTTAAATGTCAGCAGACCGCAAAAGAGTGAAGACGGCAGCATGTACGCACTAGAGTTACATGCAATTGGTCCGTAGGTTTCCACATGGCTCATATAAACCACGCTGTCCCTCTTTATATTAGTTATAAAGACACTTTGGAGAGAAAACAATGAACGAAAATTCGCATGTACAGTCTGCATGAAAAAAAAAAGAGCTCTAGGAATGTTTAAAACGACAATTTACATGAAAATAGTAATGTTGAGGCATATATTCAGACTTTAAATTCCATTATCCGTAAACAAAAGAACTCTGGCTGGCCCATAACTAATCTTATTTCTGGCCTAAAACATCAATCTAGTCCTAATATTTAATCAAAACCTTAATTGAGAGGTAATTATACTTCTTGTGTCCACTAATAGGACTTACACACTTCATCCGTTATCGAAACACATTTGATCCAACACAATTGTTTTAAGTGTTTCTTATCAGCTCAATTGTTCCCACCAAACTATGTGCGTAGACAATCTTATCTTTAACTTGAGACCAAATCTCTAAAAAAAATCATGTCGGTTATTGATTTGATTCTCTTTAATTATAGGGCGTGAATGGAAGGGGTGGACTATACTCTAATGAGAGAGGGAGGGGGTGTTGGGAGGAGTGTGTGTGTGTGGGGGGGGGGATGTGCTAATAAAGGACGCTGGTATGTATGTAGTATATAAGTGTCTTCCTATATGGAGTGTGGTTTTCGTGCGTTAGAATTTTTAATCGACGTATAAAGGGAGAGGAGGGGGGGAGAGAGGAGGGGGGGGGGAGGGGAGGGAGGTGGGGAGAACGTATACAAATTATAAGAAAATGAAAGGAAATGTATTACAAATTGCAGAAGGGAGGATGAGAATTGTTGCACCACATTACAGGAAGGGAAAATGTGGTTGTGTTGAAAAAAAAATTATGTGTATTTTTTTCCCTAATCGGTACAAAGGAAAAAAAACTAGACACAAACACACAAAACATTTAAATACTGATATAAGGGAGGTAATCAAGTATATTTGATGCATTTGGAAATTTACCTCCCATTTTCTATTTTAAGAAAATGTGAGAGCTACTTTGTTATTTAAGCCTACCTATCATACCAGATCTAAATAGAGAGTGTGCAATACATGCATGGTAGGCGTGTATTTGATTCCCATCACAAGGAACTTTAACAATCTAATGACAGTTTAAGCAAAGTTTAGTCTTTCACTGATGATTTTTTCAGTCTTGGGAGACAGTGTTATTACAATAGACCTAGTTAAGAATGGATTTTATAAGATTATATATATGGTACCTTGCAGTAAGAATAACTGAACTGCACTTTATTTTCAAAAGGGCCCTAAGTTCGTTTTGTTTGTTTAGCGTAAATGGAAAGGGAATGGGGTGACTAGGAGAGAGAGCTTGTGATTTACTTTTTCCTTTGAGCCCCTAAGGAGTAAAGAAGTGGCAGATACACCTCTCCACCACACGAGGTGTTGGGCAGCTCTATTTATTTGTGCCCACGTAAGCCCAGCAACTGTATGTTAAGTGTCAACTTACCATATGGCCATTGCCATATGGTGCATAATATGTCAGAGGCGTAGCGACGCTTCCCGCGCCCGGGACAAACTTTAAATTTTATATTTGTTATATTTATAATGCAAAACTGCAGCTAAAATGAGCTTTTATTTTTATCCAACCCATTTTGGCGCCCCCTAGGGTTGACGCATGGGGACATATGTACCCCCCCCTCCCTCGCTACGCCTATGTAATATGTTGACACAAAATACTACATTTTGTTGAAGGAAATCCATGTTGATATTATAATTAAGAATGAAGAGGAAGTGTAAAAGGAAAATAAAAATAATGTATGTCCAATAGACACTCAAGATTACTTTTCTGTATAAGTTAACTTTGACTTGTTATACAAATTAAAAAAAAAAAACTTGAACAAACAACTCAATTAGGGTAAACAAAATTTTGAATTGGTGACTACCTTGTGTTCGAGAGATTTAGATAGTTACTTACATCATGAAGTCAAACAAGTTAGTAGCACTAAGATGTAACAAATGTTACTTTCACCATGATGTAACAAATGTTACTGACACCATGATGTAACAAATGTTACTGACACCATGATGTAACAAATGTTACTGACACCATGATGTAACAAATGTTACTGACACCATGATGTAACAAATGTTACTGACACCATGATGTAACAAATGTTACTGACACCATGATGTAACAAATGTTACTGACACCATGATGTAACAAATGTTACTTTCACCATGATGTAACAAATGTTACTGACACCATGATGTAACAAATGTTACTGACACCATGATGTAACAAATGTTACTGACACCATGATGTAACAAATGTTACTGACACCATGATGTAACAAATATTACTGACACCACGACATAACAAAACACCACTGACAGTTAGTTACTCACTGTGTTGGTAAGTCTGGCCAGCATAGGGACAACACCATGGTCAGTTATGACAGCCAAGTTTTCCTCGTCCTTGGCTATGTTGGCGATGGCCGCGCACACAGCAGCCAGCACGTCCATCTTCTCTGACTTGAGCAGGCTGACAATGAGCTCCAGACCTCCAACAAAAGAGCGCACCATCTCGCCAGCATCCTGCCATTTCAAAAATATTTGAACTGTTATTTTTTTCATTTTGAATTTTAAGCCACATTTTTAAAAATAATTTTCAATTTAAATTGGTCAAAGAGAGGTAACCTAATTATAACATTCTTGTTTTAGTTTACAATGAGTACTTTCCCTTGAATAGATTGTTCACAACAGTTTTGTTTCATATAAAAGGTATGTTAAAATAGTTTTAGTTTTTGTACTATCAATAAAAAAAGATTTTCAGGTTTTTTATTTGTTCTATTTTTTAAAAACCCAGGTTAGAAAAAAATTGATTTTTACACGGTTGGGAAGGGGAAAAAACTCATTGAAAAATAGTGAACTACCGTACAGAAAATTAAGGATAAAGTGCAGCAACATTACTTTGCAGAAAAATTACAGAAATGACTGAAATAGATATTTCTGAGCCAACATGAAAATCTAGACTTTCAATATTCTTTTCAGGGAAAAAAAAGCAAAATTATATTTTTCTCAATCTCTAAGATTTAATAATAGCAAATCTTACACTACAACAAAATACATAGGCCTACCCGAAATTCGAATAAAAATTTACTATAATTTATTGCCTAACAGAAAAAAATACAATTATAAACAGTGTTTCTTCCAGACTTTTTTCTCCGGGGGGTGCACTTGAAATTTTCGGGGGGGGGGGGGGGGGGGACAACAATTTTCGAGGGCGGACACTGTCAAAAGTATGTATTTTCTATATAAATTCCATTTCGTAGTGGGGGCGGTAGACTTTCTTCGGGGGGAGAGTGGTGCCCCCCGGAAGATATGCCTGGAAGAAACTCTGATTATAAATGTAAACAAACGTCATATATTCCATGTTTTTAACCAACCTTGGCATTCTCAATACAAGGACAGATGGCCCAGGCAGCGCTGGCCTGTACATCTTTGTTGTGGTTTTTGAGCAGTGACCAGAGGAGTCTGACTCCGTCAAGTCTGTCAATTATTCTGGAAAAAAAACATTTTTTTTTACATTTCTGGTAAAAGAAAACTAAAAGAAAAAAATTTTTGAAGCAGGGAAGAAAAATCAGTGTAAAACTCATCTTCAATATAAAAAAAAAAATTTTTTTACATTTTTTACAATTTTCATTGAGACCCACTCAATGAGATGAATTTTTTTTTATTTTTAACTATGTATGCTTTTTCTAATTTTTTTATATTTTTTAGCTAAAAATTGTCAACATTTATACACTTGTGTTACACTAGGTAAAAAAAAAAAAACGTTACGCCACAATGTAAAAATAATAACCCCTTACACAGTGACATAAAACAATAATTCCCTTACACCACAATATACAACCATTGAACCCCTTAATCACAATATTAAAAAAAAACCTTATGCCACAATGTAAAAAAAAACATACCACTATATAAAACCAGTGAACCCCTTAATCCACAATGTAAAAAAAAAACCTTACCTCACCATGTAAAAAACCCTTACACCACAATGTAAATACCCCTTATGCCACAATGTAAAAACACCCTTAAGCCACAATATAAAACCAAAAAACCCATTACGCTACAATGTAAAAACCCATTACGCCACAATGTAAAAAACCCTAATGCCACAATGTAAAAAACCCTTACACCACAATGTAAAAAAAACCCTTATGTAAAAAAAACCCAATGTAAAAAACCCTTACGTCACAATGTAAAAAACCTTTACACCACAATGTAAAAAACCCTTACGCCACAATGTAAAAACCCCTTACGCCATAATGTAAAAACCCCTTACGCCACAATGTAAAAACCCTTACGCCACAATGTAAAAACCCCTTACGCCATAATGTAAAAACCCCTTACGCCACAATGTAAAAACCCATACGCCACAATATAAAACCAAAAAACCCATTACGCCATAATGTAAAAACACCTTTACGCCATAAAATAAACCCAAAAAACCCATTAAACCATAATGTAAAAAAAACCTTACGCCACAATGTAAAAACACCCTTACGCCATAAAATAAACCCAAAAAACCCATTAAACCATAATGTAAAAAAAACCTTACGCCACAATGTAAAAACACCCTTACGCCATAAAATAAACCCAAAAAACCCATTAAACCATAATGTAAAAAAAACCTTACGCCACAATGTAAAAAACCCTTACGCCACAATGTAAAAACCCTTACGCCACAGTGTAAAAAAACCCCTTACGCCATATTATCTGCTTCCTCGGCACAGTGACCCACAGCGCAAGTGACGTTGACAAGGAGAGCCTGGTTAGTCCCTGTAAGTAGATTGACCAGGGGTGGGATGCCTCCTGCCTTGCGTATGGCCTGTCTGTTGGGTGGATCTTTAGCCAGCTCTCCTAATGCCCCAACTACATTCACCAAAACCTGTTGGCGTGAAACCAGTGTTACACATTTTTTTAAATGTTAACCTTACACATTTTAAAAATGTTAAACAAGTTTCAACATAACTGAGTCAAAAACACTATTTTTATTTTCTAGTATACAAAGAGTTACCCATAATTTTAAATTGTTTAACAAGTTTTTATATAACAGAGTTAAAATACTATTACCCATAATTTAAAATAGTTAATTAAACAAGTTTCCACATTACAGAGCCAATAAACTATTTTTTCTTGATCAAAAACTTCAAATTTCAAGATGTCAAAGTTAAAAACTCATGTAAAACCCAAATAATAATACATTTTTTATTAAAACTTTAATTTTTGTTTTCATTTTTTTAAATTTTATACCTTTATTAGCAATGTTCACCATTTTGTTCATGCAATGATAATTCTTGTTAATATTTGAACTATGTTAAATACACACTATGTTAAGCACACACCCATTAGTATATGTAATTATTAAAACTTTACAGTCACTGTTGGAATAATTTTTTAGATTGTATTAATAAGTTACATACTGAGATCCGAATAAGTATTATATTGAATGTTTATAATATAAGGTTTTACCCATGTTTTATTTTCTAATTTTTATAATATATATAGGCTTACATTTTCTAAACTTATAGAATATGTGATATTGTTGAATTAGTGTGTACTATATTTTATTATATTTAAGCTGATTTTTTATAAATACACAACTCTTTCTCAAATTATTTGTTTAAACCCAATAAGTAGCTTGTGATATTTTATTCCCTCCCTTTGTAATAAGTTTACCTAGATAGATACATCAGCAAACATTGAACTATACTGATGGCTACCACCTAGCTATTTCGTTTTTGTAAATGTATTAAGAAACATTCATATTTAATTGTTTAATGGCAAATTTGCTATCCTATTAGACAGAAATAGAGATACACTATTTGAACTGTCTTCAGTAAAAAAAATTAGTCAACTTTGAATTACAAGATTTCTAAATATTGTGGCTTAAGACCAAACTATTGTAACCAGAGGCGTATCCAGGTTTTTGTTGTAGGGGGAGCGAAAAGAGCAAAAAAAGGCGCCGAATTTTGAATTTTTAACGCGTTCTATATACGTGTATTTATATATATATATATATATATATATATATATATATATAATTACTAGCTGTATGTCATTACTTCGCTATGATGTAAAATAAATTGAAAGTAGCACTCTGAAGAAATAAGAAAAAAACACACAATGTAGGCCGAAAACAAAAATGTATCAATCTAAACAATAAAGACAAAAAAAAATCTACACACACTACAACCAAAAACAATGAACGTAACACAATCTGTTTTGTAATTCTTGTAATCAAATTTCTTACATAATAATTCCTGGGAAATTATTTAAGACAAGTAAAATAGGGGAAATAATCACTCTCTTAATATAAATATGTATATATCTACACATTTAATTATAAATGTCAAAACAAATAAATAATTACTTTAGAGTACAATCAAATTGTTTAACACTATTCGTGTTTACACATTTTTTTTGTCTACAACCATAATTAAATATATCGTCATCATAAATGCTAAAGTATTACAGCATAATGAAAGGTTTTGAAATCAGAGTTGGTATAAAAACACGCTTTAAAGTATAACAGAAAAACATATGGAATTATAGCTTTCATTTAACTAAAATATTGGTCTTTAGTTCGTATCAAACATCTTTTAATTTACTGTTCTTTAAATATCATTTTTTAACATAGTGATAGGTATGGGTTAGATCACTGTATTGATCACACACCTTTTTAATGGTAATTTCAAAAACAATATTCACAGAGTTTTACCTTTAAAAAGCTAATTTTCTGGCGGCATGGTACTTTGGTACATCATTACGCGTTCTCTACATGTACTTAACAGATCAGTTCGGGTCGAGTTGGGGGGGGGGGGGGGGGGGGGGGGGGGGTTAGGTTCAACTTCATTCACCACTGTCCGTTCTCTTTAGGTCAATTATCCAACCCAGTGTATACCTAGGTGTGACATTAATGTGGCTCTACACAATTGTGGTGGTGAGGTGGTGGGGGGGGGGGGGGGGAAGGGGGGATAGGGGGGGGGGGGATAACCAACTCAGAGTGAACATAGCGTCAGTTTTTAGATGACTGTTCTAAACATAAATATATATTACACAAATATATATATTACAGAAATAGATTTAAATAAGTAGCAGTGGTATTATGACAATATTTTTTTTCAGAGGGGTCCATGGGGGAGGGGGGTTGTAACTGCTTCATATAATTTGTAATCGTAATCACTATCGCCCAAACTGTAAGAATACTACTACTTCATAGTGCTGACGTTGACCTTGTCAAAATTTCCCCACCACTACGCAGTTTGCTCATCAGTAAATTTAAATAGAGGTGCCACATCAGTTGTATTTGTTTCCGTATTGTAATTTTTTAAAAATTAATCACACGATTCAAACTGTATATATAAAGTAATTATGTGTGAAGTTTTATGTATAACATTTTCTAATTCAATTATTCGTAAGCAAATACATTATACAGTTGCCTTAAACTTAACACCCCACTTGCCAAGTGGTACTACCCGTAGAGGTTTTTTTAAACATTGCAATACATCGTAATGGTTATTTTTAGAATGGCAAACTGATGCAGCTGTTAATAGTAATACGTGTTGTAAACGTAGACACTACTAGACTAGTACAATAATGCTTAATTGCTGCATGAAAAGAAATCTTGTGATTTACATAGATGTGCCGACCAAAAATATTTTTTTAACAAATTAAATATCATTGTTTAAAACTTTGAGTTTAAAAAGTTTCCAAAAAGGCGCAACTTTGCTGAAAATGGCCAGAGGGGGAGCTGCTGCTCCCCCTGCTCCCCCCCCCTGCGTACGCTACTGATTGTAACACAAAACAACAAATTTAACACCTCTTCAATTCACATATATTGTGACTTTCAACTTTCATTATGTTTACTTGTTTTGTGCCTAAGACACACAGGGCAGATGAGGCAGACCTCAGTATACAAGGGGACAATGTGGTCAAGACTATGCCCAGCCCACTTTGTTTTCCTAACATGAGCTAGGCACCCATCTCTATGGATGCAATCCAGGAGTACTGATTTGAGCCCAGATTCGAACTCGCGACTTTTGGGTTAGCAGTCTAGCTCTCTACCACTAGGCCATGCCAACCCATTATGACTGTAGAAAATAGAAATTGCGTCACCTCTTCCATTTAAAAATATTGTGACTAATAAAAAAAAAGTGTTACCTCTTTTATTAAAAAATATTGTGATTAAAAAAAATAGATAGCATCATCTCTTTCATTACAAAATATTGTGATTAAAAAAAATTAGCGTTACCTCTTTCATTAAAAAATATTGTGACTAATAAAAAAAAAGTGTTACCTCTTTTATTAAAAAATATTGTGATTAAAAAAAATAGATAGCATCATCTCTTTCATTACAAAATATTGTGATTAAAAAAAATTAGCGTTACCTCTTTCATTAAAAAATATTGTGACTAATAAAAAAATAGTGTCACCTCTTTCATTTAAAAATATTGTGACTAATAAAAAAAAAATAGCGTCACCTCTTTCATTAAAAAATATTGTGACTAATAAAAAAATAGCGTCACCTCTTTCATTAAAAAATATTGTGACTAATAAAAAAATAGGTAGCGCCACCTCTTTCACTTTCAATAAAAAGATATTGTGATTAAAAAAAAATAGCGTCACCTCTTTCATTAAAAAATATTGTGACTAATAAAAAGATAGTGTAACCTCTTTCATTAAAAAATATTGTGACTAATAAAAAAAATAGCATTACCTCTTCAGGCTGGTCATTGAGCAGGCCTACAAGTAAATCAATGGCCTTCAACTCTTGGAACCGCTGAACATTTTCAGGACTGATTGAGC